GTAGCAGTAACTCACATTAGTGTGAGCTTTAGGTAATAGTATTGCAGATGCTCAGTAGCTTTTGCACCCTGCGGGTTAACGATACTCAATCCATTTGCATATTAATTTATTCATTTAGCAGATGTTTTAGTTCAAAGAAACTTTGCCCCGAGTTCATTAGCACAACATATGCAAGCACAGATTTCTTGTGATGTGTTGTTTGTCAGCAAATGTTCAGATATCTCTGGTGTCATCTTTTTTATACATTCAGGTTTGTTGTTGTCACTATTTCCTATGCCACTTCTTGTGTGATGTGCAATGTTGGTCAACCCACCAAAACAATGTTGCAAGCTTAGCTATCAACACTATTTGTTTCTTTGAAGAAAAAGGAGCTAAGCTAAGAAGAAAGCTTCACAGAATTTTGCTAGTTAAGTTGCACTGTTGAACTGTAGCACTACGGCAAAAGAAAATATTTCAGATATGGGCTTGAAGGCTGAATTAAGACGAAAAGACAACCAGGCTACAGTGTAAAATGAAAGTTAGATCTTTTTAATGAGTCAGTCAAACTGACTCACAAATGAGTCACACACAAACTCTAAAAGGTCTCACTTACACACTGAAATAGTCGGAGTGGTTACCAAATTAACATCTGACTCACTCGCTGAACCACAAGCCATTACTTTCAGTCATATTCGATTCGAAATAAGAGATCCAACATACTCTAATGGACAAAGATGTTCTTCTGCTTGTGAACATTGACCTACAAACTGTATATTGACGGCTAAAGCTTGTTTTTTTTTCTATTCAGTGCTATGTAAATTCTTTAAATCTTCTTCATGAAGGCTTTTATCAGCATATATGTGATTAATCATTCTATCATGCAACCAATTTTTAATTAGCAGTGTTTGCAAACTCTCTCTCTATAAACTTCTTTATAAAACATAATAAAAAGCTGAAACATTAATAAAAAGTGAGCTTGTTTTGATCCAGCTAACAGTGTGTGATTTGCATAACGTAATACAAAACACAAATAAGTTTCAAATATTTTGTATGTTTTAAGCTTTTCTCATATTTCCTGAATTCTGCTGATGAGAAAATCATGCTATGCTCAAAACAACAACAACAAAAATACTATTAAAATGAAATGTTTATCTTACTGATTATGCAGGATTATTCAAATTATTTTAAAATTTAGGAAAGCTTTGTAAAAGATGCATAATATATCATTTATTTATATGTGGACATGAGTATACCACACACACACATATATTTCCATGCTTTATAGGGACATAATGAGGCATTATACTGTACAGACTGTATTTTCTATCCCCTTTACCCTAAACCTTCCTCTCACACAAAACTTTCTGCATTTTTAGGTTTAAAAAAAACACAATTCTGAATGATTTACAAGCTTGTTTCCTCATGGGGACCAATAAAAAAATTCCCACAAGGTCCAAATGTATTTATAAAATTATTACTATACTTGTGGGGATCCATAACACAGGGAATACCAGGTACACACACACATCTCAAAACTACTATACTACTATGTATATATATCTCAAAACTACTAAGAATCATTACGGAATCATTAAGGAAACATGTTTTCCATACATTTCTCTGCAATAAATTTAGTGATTGTGCTTAAAGCACAAAATCTGAGAGCTGACTTTTCATGTGAAGCACTGAATAATCCACTGAATGTAATGAATGGAAACGGAAGTGACCCCAGCGCTGGAGTGACACAACTCCTACTCTGAAATTCTCTATTGTGTTTGCGTTTGCAGTGTCATATGGTTTGTGTGTGTGTGTGTGTGTGTGTGTGCGTAGTCTTCTTCTTCCACTCAGCCTGCCTGTCTCTGGTTCATTATCATTCCTCACAGACTTACTTATCCTGAGACTTTGGCTGCTTGTCTTGTTTCAGCACCGCTGTATCACTCTGTGCCACCTCCCTCCCCATCTTTCTCTCTCTCTCTCACACACACGCACATACAAACGCATACCCACTCGTTTGTCTCGGCTAAGTAGTCTGCACCATCGCTGAGGATGATGGGCTGCACAGCCAGACACAACTGATCCGGCAATATTTAAATTTTATGCATGTCTCATCTCAGCGAGAGGAATCATACCGCCCATCTGTGCTCTGCGCACGCTCTCTTCCTTCTGTATCTTTTTTTCTCTCTTTCCTCTTCTCATTAATTTGGGCGCAGGTCAGTTTGTCTACATGAGTTTCGTGTATTTATCATCTTTTGTTTTTCCGGATCTCAAAATCATTCCAATAATTCTGCACAACCAGCCAGACAAATGTATTTACTGTCTTTTGGAAAGTTTTGAGCACAGCATGATTTTCTCAGTAAATATGAGGAAAAAATTTAATATACAAAGAAATTTTAACTTATTTGTGTTGTGTATTAGACTTATTAAACAAGCTAAAAATATGAAAATTATATATTTACTTATATATTTATTTATATTTTCAGAGTTCATACTTTATTCATACAATACCAAAAGTTCAAAGAAAAAAGTATCTTATGTTCACCAAGGCTGCAGTTGTTTTGTCAGTGTGTCAGTATGTATTGCAGCTTCGTTGTATTTAAGGACTATTTAAATAGTGTTACAATGTATCTTATGTGTAGAATTTTCAACTTCTGAGTGCTTTTTCTACTCACTTTAGTAGTGTTCAAGTAAAAGTTATTTGTAACAAATTACAGAGAAGCTTTAAGGGCCCCTTGTGGATTTCTGTCTAAATAAAAGAAAATGATGAAGATATTAGTAATTATTAATTTCACAGATATAAACTAAAATTATTATAATATTATTTTTCTTAAAACTCAATATTTTGATTTAGTAATAACAATCCCCCCCCAAAATCATGCAGCCATAGAATTATAGTAAAGTACAGTATACCATTGAATGCACAAATTTTGTCAATCGTATTTAAATGATGCTTTACTTTGTAAAAACACGTATTCCTTTAGAGTATACTAATGTAACTTTTTAATTCATATAAATGATATTACCTGAAATATACGTTTTAAAAAATGAAGTTTAAGGATTTCAAGTTAATAATCAATACACTTAAGTGCACTTTTTTCACAAGGGTCAGTGTGGTTCCATGCTGTACCATTTTACAGTGACGGGGATGCTCGCCCCATCCTGTTCTTTGACTTGCAGATGGTGAAGCTTATGAAATATTCATCCTGGATCATCCTGTACGTCTTTGTGTTTTCTGAGAGAAACCTTTGAGTTCAGTTTTGGCTTAAGGCTATTGTGCGTAATAGACAGTGAGAGATATAGACAGGTGTATTTGTGAGAGTTTTCAAACAATTAAGGGTTTTGGAATGTGTCTCATTCCTAATCATGCTAATGGTATATCCGTCTGGGACTTACTTTTATTTATAGGTGTGAGAGATTTCCCTTGGAAGATGATTCAGCAATATTGTAAACAGGTTATTTGTTGTATGTCTGTATGTCTGCATTAACTCTCCATTTATGTTGACAGACAAGGAAAAAACCTCAGTCCATTAAGAGACATCCTGCCCACATTCTATACAGAGGGCTGTAAGCTTCATACTCTGGGCTGTTATGACCTCAAACCAGGGACACCAGTGTCTATTTTATCAAAGCAGCTTTTATAACAGAATATCTGTTGTTTGCAACTGCAGTCATGATATGCTTTAGCTTGAATATCCTCTATCCAGCTTGGAACCAAAAGTCCTTTTGTCCCGAGGAAGTAATTCTGTGAGGTTGTTTCACACCAATGATGTGTTTATTCAGTTTTAATGAACTACAGTGCTTCATCTGACCGCTGGTGCACTTAGGGAAAAGACTGGAGATGTTGAACTGATATGAACCAATTATAAAACATTCAGTTCCATTTCTGAGACATTACACGCAGACTTGGCCGCTAAACAAGATCCTGTGATCCGATTTCACTGGTATGGTCAAATTATAACCAAGCCTAAATTTGTCTGGAAAATTTGTTTTTAAAAAGAACAAATTAAACATGTGAAATGCTAATTAATAAAATGAATGATAATTGTTTTACAGTACAAAATTGACATTTGAAATGTACACCCTATACAGGTTACCTAATGTTATTATTATCATACTTTTTTATTTGTACCAAATAATCACATTACACGTACACATTACACACATATACACAAACACGAACACATAATACACACACACACACACACAAATATACATATATGTATCTAGATTTATATAGATATCTACACATTTTATATTTTAGATATTTATTATAATATTTTAATTATCGTTGTAGTATGTATATATATATATATATATATATATATAAAGTAATATGTGTTAAATTTGTGCAAATATAAAATAATTGTTTATTATAATTTTGAAAAAGTATTTTATGCTTACCAAGGCTGCATTTATTTGATAAAAATACAATAATATATATACAGTGATGTGAAAAGTTTTTTGCCCCCTTCCTTTTTTTAAAAATGTTTTGCATATTTGTCACACTTAAAAGATTCAGATCATCAAACCAATTTTAATATTACGCAAAGATAATGCAATCTTTGTGTAATATAAAAAATTGTTTGATGATCTAAATCTTTTAAGTGTGACAAATATGCAAACAATTAAAAAAACAGGAAGGGGGCAAAAACTTTCACACCACTGTATATATATATATATATATATATTATTATTATTATTTTATTATTATTTTTTTTTTAATATTTTCAAATGTTATTTATTCCTGTGATGGCAAATTTTCGGCAGCCATTAGTCCAGTCTTCAGTGTGACATGATCCTTTAGAAATCATTATTATCATAGTTATCATATATATATATATAATTCTTTGATGAATAGAACATTCAAAAGAAGACCATTTATTTGAGAGAGAAACAATTATTATTTAGATTAATAATGAAACAAAAAATCTTCTTGACCTCAGAACTACTTTTTATATTGTGGAATGTTTTGTGCGATATCTGTTTGTAATCTATAACCTATATTTGTGTTTGTTTCATGACAGGGTTTGAGGAGCAGGACACTGATCTTTTTCTGTGCGACACCAACACATGCAAGTTTGACGGCGAGTGTCTGCGAATTGGGGACACGGTGACGTGCATCTGTGATTTTAAGGTAGGAATCAGTGCTCCACACACATTTGCAAGATTTATTAGCACCACATGTTGAATGTGTGACCTTGTTAAAGGCATTACCACACGTGGAGTAAACAAACTGTCACAAATTAAAATACACCTCCACATGCCTTCTCACAGAAAACACACACACATTCTCTCGCTCGGTCAGAGTGCTCTGCTTCGCTCAGACATCATGCATCTGTGTCTTGTTGCAGGCCAAGCTGCATCACTCAGGTAAATAGCATTATCTGTCTGCTTGCGCAGCATGCGGGAGGGGGAATTTCCTTTGATGCATCTGCTCGATCGCCCAGCCTTGCACGGCACAAAGATGCCTTGTGCACTTAAGAAGGGTCACGCTGCTTTAATTTCTGTCCTTAATACAATTGAGCGGCACTAACGCTAGTCTGGGGCCATGTGAGTGCCTCTAGCTGTGGTGGGGAGGGTTATTGGTTAAGTATCATGCGCAGCGAGAGATGGTACCCGGGCATGTGTGGGGATGCCCTACTCCTGCGGTTGGACGCTGCTGCCCTGCCCTTCCTCCAGACTCCCAAACAGAGAGTGGAATGGGAGAAGTGTGTGTAAGAGAGAGATGAATTGATGTGATTCGCACAAGTTCACTTACTGACACGCTATTGATTCAACCCTCATACTTGGAGAGAGAGAGCGAAGGACCGAAATGGAAGGCAGTCAGTCTCTTTCTGGACCGCTAGGAACACCAAATGGAATTGCAATCTGTTTGTTTCAGTGACCTGACTGGGCAAAGCATAAAAAAACACTTGCACATTTATCTAGTATGTGTTTGGGAGCGGGACATTGGAGGGTGATAGGGAGAGTTTAAAACAAATTATTGAACTGTTTTTTTAATGTGACATGGCACCTTATGAATAGAACACTCATGGCGTGAGATGCTTAAAAATCTATCTGACATGTGTAGGTTTAGATCAACAATTAATAAGCAATCACAGACAAAAATTCAGTTACATACTGTATCTTGTGTGAACACTTAGCTCTTAAAATATATTGTATCATAATTTTGGGGTCTTTTGAAACAAAGGCTGCATTTTATTTGTTCAAAAATGTTTTAAAATGCAATTTATTTTTCTGTGATGCAAAACGAAATTTTCAGCAGCCATCACTCTGCACAGTTTTCAATGTCACATTATCCTTCAGAAATCATTCTAATATGCTGATTTGGTGCTTAAGAACCATTTCTTATTATTATAAATGCTGAAAATAGTGTACTGCTTAATCTTGTGGAAACCATAGTAGCATTACAAGTAGCCATGCAGCATTTATTTGAAATACAATAATGTCTTTAAAGTAATGTTTGGTTCATTTAATGCATCTTTGCTGAATAAAAGCATGGATTTCTTTTTTTTTAAAAAGTCACCAACTTTTGAACGGTAGTGTATATGTGAATTTGAAATACCTACCTATGTCCTGTGTATAGTGGCTGTCAGTGTATTTCCATCTGCATACAAGTCGAGCCAAATGCTTTTTCTCTCTTTAATTTATCCTTGCTCTCCAGCAATCTGTCTTGCAGTGTGTGATCAAATGGCTATGTGCAAGTGCCAAAGCACTATATAATATCTGGTCTGACATGATTTTGAGTCTGTCATGTTCCAATTTAGAAATGAAACACACCGGAAAACATACACTGACACACTTTAAATTACACATCTGTGCATGTAACTGTCATAGAATAATGGATATGAGACAGGAACCAGTACAAGAATAGAATTCATGCACAAAAACTCAAATCAGTAATGGCAGGAATGGAAATTAACTGGTTCAACAGAACATTGAATGATGTCCAAATTCCGGTTAAATGCATTGTTGTTGAAGAACAAGTGTTTTTCTTTTCTGAAATGGGATATTTTGAAATAAGAATGTACTAGAAAACGTTGAAAATAAGCTGCAAAAATATCTCATTTAACATTTCCACAACTTCATCATCATGGATCTTGGTTTCTAATTTCTGATCCTGGAGAGCCACTAGATCAGCGAAAGAAAATTAGTATTTATTGTGTGTGCGTGCGTGTGTGTGTGTGTGTTAGGGTGTGCACACGTGTGTGTACGTGTTTTTGTGACAAATGAGGACATAAATTTGTATAATGACAAAGGTATGACATAGGTATTACAAGGAGAAGGTGACTTTTCAGGACATTAACCCATGTCCCCACTTTTCAAACCGCTTATAAATCACACAGAATGGTGTGTATTGAAAATCTGAAATAGCACAAAGTCTCCTGTAAGGGGTAGGTTTAGGGGTAGGGTTGGTAAAGGGCAATAGAATATACGGTCTGTACAGTATAAAAACCATTAAGCCTATGGGATGTCCCCACTTTTCACAAATGTAAACCTGTGTGTGTGTGTATATGTGTGAGCATCAGTGATGCTGAGACACACTGACCCGTCACCTGCTTGTATATATGGTCACTTGGGGCCTGACTGCCACAGTACAAACAACACAAACATACATTTTCACACATGAATGGCTGGAAAGTTTTAGTGTTTGATATTCTCTTCCCCTCTGTACTTCAAGAGTACTCTACAACACAACAGATGGAGGCCATCACCTTGGCAGTGTCCTAATGAAGCGATATGAAGGACTGAGTGCTTTAGCGCAATAATGCTAGCGATAGCTTCCATTAGGAGCCACTAACACAGTAACATAAGCACCACACACACACACACACACACACACACAGCAACATGTTAACCGACTTCTGCCCAGCCCCTTTCCTTCCTCTCTCGCTTTCTCTTCTTTTCCATCACTCCGTTTTAGCTGTGTCTAGGAGTTCTGATTAATTTAAGCATTCTCTTATGATTTTTGCCCCCAACATATCTCACTATATAGTCTCACATATACCTCAAATGTGATTTGGCAGGTACAGTGGGGCAAAAAAGTATTTAGTCAGCCACCAATTGTGCAAGTTCTCCCACTTAAAAAGATGAGAGAGGCCTGTATCTACTTAATGGGGACCAAATGTCCCCACAAGGTTAGCAATACCAGTAAATTTGGACCTTGTGGGGACATTTTTGGTACCCATGAGAAAAACAGCTTATAAATCATACAGAAGGATAGTTTTTGCAGAAAGTTTTGTGTGAGGGGTAGGTTTAGGGGATAGAAAATACAGTTTATACAGTATAAAAACCATTATGCAGTGATGGCCAGTAGTGTCGCTACAAGTAGTGACGCTAGTAGTTTAACTACATTTCTCAGTAGCGTGGTGGTAGCGTCGCTGTTTTCTTAATCAAATAGCTTTTCAGTAGTGAAGCTCTTTTTTTTTAACAAGTAGCACGGTAGCGTCAACAAAAGCTAACGGTACATTATCCAAAGCATTTCTGAAACTCAAGCTCAAATCAGAAATAAAACTGCTAAGGATCACTGATCCTGGACCAGTAAAAGTGACGCCACCGCCACTAAACCTCGTAACTCCATTGGCTCCTCAAACTGTCAGTCAAACCTAATTTGTCCTCCCCCTCTCTCGTGAATGAAGTGCGGCGAGCAGTTTGGAGCATTTCAGCTTGTTTGCAGTCTGAAGGTATAAATAAATTAACTGTTGATTGAATAAGTACAGCGTTTTCTTTACTCAGGAAACACTATATTTATAAAGGCTAATGTTTTTTTGTATTTGAGGAGCGGAGAAGAGTGTCTTAGCATTTGTTGTCAAGTCACAGTCAAATAGCTTGTGCGAAGTGCTGAATCTTTTATAATATGATACTTTGGCCAAATAACAGAAAAAAACTGAGCGCCCACATAGCGACAGAAAACTGTATAACCTGCAAGTTCATGAAAATGTAAATACGATGCCCGTACTGCCTTTGAATGTGGCGTTAATGATGGGAAAAAGCATTCGCTGGTCAAAAACTTTGTATTTGAACTTGATTTTAGTGAATATAATGGCACATGCAACGATGCAAATGAACGTAGCCTAAGTTATTTGTAGGCCTATACATCTATAGTATATGGTGACACTACACAGTAAGATTTCATTAATGTTAGCTAATGTATTAACTAACATGAGCATACAATGAACAATACATTTATTACAGTATCTATTCATCTTTGTTCATGTTAGTTAATGAAAATACAGTCTTTTATTTGTAGTTCATGTTAGTTCACAGTGCATTAACTAATGTTAACAAGCACAACTTTTGATTTTAATAATGCATTATTAGTGAATGTTGAAATTAACATTAATAAATGCTGCAGAAGTATTGTTCATTCTTAGTTAATGTTAACTACACTAGTTAACTAATGAACCTTATTGTGAAGTGTTACCATTTACATTTAGACATTTAGCAGATGCTTTTATCAAAAGCGACTTACAAATGAGGACAATGGAAGCAATCAAAATCAACAAAAGAGCAATGATATGCAAGTGCTATAACAAGTCTCAGTTAGCTTAATGCAGTACACGTAGCAAGATTTTTTTTTTACCATATAATAAATAAAAATAAAACAGAATAGAAAAAGAATAGAGCAAGCTAGTGTTAGAGGCCTTTTCTGCTTTTGTTATTTGTATAAATAAATTGTAACAAAAATGTATTCAAATAAATTGAATAAATAAAAAGAAAACAAAGATAGAATACAAAAAGATTAGAGAAGTTAGTAAATAAATAGAGTGCAAGTATAAAGTGAAGTGACATGTGGACATGTGGCCAAGTATGGTGACCCATACTCAGAATTAGTGCTCTGCATTTACCCATCCAAAGTGCACACACACAGCAGTGAACACACACAAGGAGCAGTGGGCAGCCATTTATGCTGCGGCGCCCAGGGAGCAGTTGGGGGTTCGGTGCCTTGCTCAAGGGCACCTCAGTTGTGGTATTGAAGGTGGGAGAGAGCGCTGTACATTCACTCCCCCCACCTACTCGAACGAGACTCGAACCCACAACCTTTGGGTTACGAGTCCGACTCTCTAACCATTAGGCCACGACTTCCCCCGACTTTAAAAGGGGCATTTTTAAAAATAAAGAATAGAATTAGAA